ATTAGATAATCTACAGCTTGTGTCCTAGCTTCTCTTAACCGTTGCTTTCCAACCCTGCCAAGAAGCCACACATAATAGGTTAAATAATCTGAATGGTTCACTATAATCAAAATTCAAAACAAACTGGTAAGTTTCGTTAGCATCAGCAGAATTAAAAATCAGATTTTTCCTATTGGCGCACACAGAAGAACTTTAAGGAGTAATGGTTCACCTCAAAAATGTTAATAATTAATTTTTAGAAGTTTAAAATATTTGATATGGCATATATATAGAGAAAAATAAAAAATAAGATTCAAAATCTACCTTCCAAGGTAGTATCTGTACTGCTTAAATACACCAGGCGTTACCCTTTGTGACAAGTCAATTGACTTGAGGATATTATGTTGTAAGTGGTCCTTCTTTGTCTCAACAGAACATTTTACATCCTGCCACAAGTCGCCAGCAAAGGAATGTGCTTCCGATCCAGGGCCATGTGCACTTTCTCCACCATGAGCTGAATTTTCACCGGATGATGCTGCCATTCCCTCCATGGTCTTCAGCATATCCATGGGAACAGGATAGCCATTATGAAGCATCCATCTTACGGGCAGTTGTTTAGTAGTCAAACCTGTACTTGTGCTTAGCTTTACTATACCCTCCAAAATGTCAATGAAGTAATCTGGAGGATTAGCACGTTCAGGGACATTAATTCCAAGGCCAGCAAAATATTCTTCTACTTTCTTCACTGATCCATGATATACTGTAAGCCCACCCTTTGCTAGAAGTATCAAATCATCAAACATCCTGAACAAGGTATAACTGAAGTGCAACAAAATGAAAATTGTTGTCCATCATTTTCAGCTACGTTCTTATGAGTAATATTGGCGTATGAACATATGTTTACTCCTAGGTAAACCCAGCATATATATTTCATAAAATTCAACTTTCCCATGATAATAAACTCACCTTGGCTGGTGAACGACCATGCAAATGTTTACTCCTTCAAGGGCTTCACGCCGAAGAGCTCTGAGTAGTAATTGGGAAGATGAACTGTCCAAACCAGATGTTGGTTCATCTAATATCAAAAGTGAAGGTTCCATGACCATTTCCAGCCCAACATTTACCCGTTTCCTTTGACCCCCAGAGATTCCCCTCTTCTCCACTGTCCCAACTAGAGAATCCCTCACGGGCTGCAGTCCCAAGGACTCGATGACTCTTTCAACAACTAGAACCTTTTCTTGTTTTGGCAGGTCAGCAGCAAGTCTAAAATAATCAGGAATCCAGTTAGTGGTCAGAGGAAATCAAGAAAGTGCTTTTATTGTAGAATGTCTTCTAATGTAGCAGTTGCAAGTAGAAAATCACGTAAAAAACATTTAAACACCCTAAAGGAACAAAAAATTAAAGGTGTCTGAATGACTTAAATAAGTGTGGCATACCTGCATCTAGCACTGAACCATAGATTTTCCTCCACTGTCAAGTTTCCATGCACGATATCATCTTGTGGAACAAAACCAATTATTTTCTTATATGCTTGGATTGGCTCAACCTTTCCATTTATAAGAACCGTACCAGTCATGACGCAACCGGGTGCTTTTCCTGTTAAAGCTGAAAGAAACGTTGTTTTTCCTGCCCCGGATGGACCCATAACGGCTGAAACTCGACCAGGAGATAATTTCCCAGTTACACACCTCAGTAACTTTTTGTTTTTTCCTTTCAAAGTGATGGTTAAATCTTTGAAGGCAATCTCAATTGTTAGCCTCTTTCTAATATCGATATCATTAGCCATTGAAATCACCCCGGAGAAGGTCAAGTTCTTGTTCTGCTCCTGGAGAGCTTTCTCCTTCTCTATTTGACCATATGCATACCTGAACATTTGGCTCTGAGTATGCAATTGCTTACCCCTTGGTGGATTTTTCTTTGTATGTTTATCTCCAATTTCTATATTAAAGCCATCATGACTCTCAGGGTTATCTTCCATTTCATGTAACATCTTTGTGAGGTTTCCTTTTTCCTTCTTTTTTGGTTGCTGAGATGTACCGAAAGACATGGGGGGTAAGGCAGCATCTGTTCCAGGTTTAGCTTGACTTACACCTCTTGTTAGGTCCGGTTGCCTTTGAGATTTTCTTTTGGAAAATGTACGTGATAACTGTGTTTGCAGCCCAATTGCATGCTTCTTAGCAATGTCTTTAGCAAAATTCCATTTTTCGCGTGCTTGGGCAGTGTCTCTTACACTTTGAACTGCCTTCTCCCTGGATTGCTCTTTTCTCTTCTCTCGAGTTGCAAGAGCTTGATCAGAACAGTTGTATATAATGACAAGTAGCAAACCTATTCCAGCCTACATTGGGAAATTCAATAGTTAGTATTTGGCTGTTACTTCAGAGAATAAATTAGCCACTAATCTAAGAAAATATTCTGAAAGAGCAAATGAACTTTGCAATTTGATTTTAAAGAATGATATGTTCTGGTGAATGAAAATGCCACACTATAAAATGTAAGTTGTTCACTCACAAAAAGCAGGAGACCATACGCGGTGATATTTTGATTTGTTGACATTGGATTACAAGTTGCCAACCGGAAGCACTCTGCAAAGTTCAATTGGTAAAAGGTTATATGGCTTTTGTCTCACCACTAGGAAAGGAAAAAGAAAAACAGATAACAGATAGATAATCATCCTAAGAATGACATAAATGTGACATACAAAATGTTACATGAATCAGGCTCTCTTAGGAAGATATATCACAGAGCATAGTTTCGTCGCATTGATCATAAAGATTTAGTAAATTTCAGTCAAAAGCATCTAATAAGAGAAAATAAACTCCAGTGTTGTGCATTGATCTGCTACCAAGTAGCCATCCTCTATTAATTAGGCACAAACACAGTTATCTGCTTTGACATTTTTAGAATGAGAATGCTCCTATCTATTTTTCAAGGATTCTCAAGCAACCAGACTCAAATTGGCTGGAAATTATTTGAAGAAAAACTTACTTTGTTGAGCTGTAGAACCTGCCCTGCAGAAATGTCTGAAACAAACAAACAAACAAACAATGGTATTTCAGAGTCACTTTTAACAGCAAAAATTGAACACATGCAAGTGAAAAACAAATAAGTATTCCATTGTTTCTACGATAAAAGCTAGAAGTTCTGGGATAATATCAATACCCCGAACTGCATGGAATTTTTTGGATAGTACTCGGACAGTATGATGCTGCTGAACAGAATACCTCACTACTACTCGTTATATCGGCCCAAATGTCAGCTCCTCCACATGTATGATTTGGCTTACCAGGAGGTAGTTGATAACCGTATCTGCAAAGGAGTTCTGCTACTGATATTAGTGTATGCTAAAGCAGAAGAAACCATAGTTCAATTTCTTGCAAAAAACATAAAAGAGAAGATCAAATGAATGAATGTTAAAACAAGAATGAACTTACGGGTCACATGTGCCAGTAGTCTTATTGAGCTTTGCACTTGGGCAGTAAGAACCCAATGGACAAGCTTCAGTAATGAATAAGAAAAAGCAAAACAAAAATGAGGTAAGGGATTTTAAGATGACAGATATAAAAAATTTCCTGCTCTGATTTGATCAGAATCACCGAATACTTACGTATAATACAAGTAATGCCACGAGGGCAGAAGAATCCTTCACAACAAGGTAAGCAAGTCTGGACTCTAACAGGTATGTCCTTGGAGTTTTTCAGATCAACTTTCTTGTTTTTACCAACACTACATGCCCATCCTGACTCGCATCCAGAAACCCAAGAGGATAAATTACAGTTCTGGTTGGGCTTCAAGAAACTGGCCTTCTTTGCTTCACCTCCGCTCTTATAGAAACTGTTGAAGTAGAATTTGATTTCTGCTGCTGTGCATAGGCGTTGCATAATGTCTCCTATTGAACCCCAAATATATGGAACGTGCCAAAAAATTATCAAACTCAATCATCTCAATGGAGATTTACCATTAAAAAAAAAACATATAAAAGTTTGTAGGTACTGAGTTGCACCCTTGGTTGTTTTGGCACAATTGGCCAAGAAATTCGTGTCTTTTGAGAAATTGAATGCCTCATTCCAATCTGCATCCCTGAAATCCAACATAAGTGTAGCATTGAATTTGATTAGGATATGATAACATAATTCAAAAAATAAAATAAAAGCTGAGAAATAAGCTAGGAAAAAGGCTTACACATCAGTAATGCAAAAGCCAAATTGTTCATTGATATCATCCTTGAAGACACAGGAAAAATTAGAGAATTGGCTGAAGGCAAGGTTAGAGAATAACTGAATTGCAGCCGAGTTGTTTCTGAAATTCTGACCACTGCTGGTATCATCATCATCATCAAGATCATCTTCAAAATCATCTTCACAAACAACATGAAGCAAAAAACTAGATATCAATATCAAAAGGAAAAGAATTTTCCATGTATCAATCTTCCGTATGATCATTTCATCAATTACTTTAGATACAAAAACATATATATTTGTTCATGTGATCAAGATCAAGAAGCTGGAAAGTAACCAAGTTGATCAATTATGAATTGAGAGATGGAAAATGGAACAAAGTTTTGTTTGAATGATTGGAATTTGGTTAAGGGGAAGAAATGGTAGGGAGAAAAGAGAGGGCGAAACATGGGGAGGTGACAGTTTAAGAACGTTAAAACATGTCTGAAAAGGTTGTAAAAATTAAATCAATGTCATGTCTTTTTCATTTTGGTCAAACCTTATACCAATTTTATTTTTTTTGACTTATTTTGAATTCACTAATATTGAACCTGTTAATTAAAAAAAAAAAAACTCGAAATGATTTAATTTATTAATTTATCAGTTAAAGAGGGGATGGAGAAAATGCCATGGCCGTCAAATAACGTTGACTGTCAGTCTTTTTCTCACAACTCTGTATCAACTGACCGTCAATAACGTCCGTCACTGCCCCTTCTTTTTTATTTTATTTTATTTCATTTTCTTTCCATTTTAACAAAGCGTTTTCTCTTTAAATAAAATTATTTCCCTCACTCCACTCTTCTCATTTCTGCGGCGCCTCGACCCCACATTTCCTTCTCAATATTTTTTACTATTATTTTCATATATAATTACCTCAATTAATTTCCTTTAATATTATTCAGCTTCTCTGGTATGTTAGAAATCTTTCTCTTTTTTCTTTTTCTTTTTTTTTTTTTAATGAATGAGAGTCTGTTTTTATTGTGTTTTTGATTCTTGTTAATGTTCTATAATGCCATTGTTTAATCGGACGATTTGGATTTTCTAATCTGAACTTTTTGCTGTTAATTCATTGTTTATTTTGATGCCAATGGGATTTCATTTGATCTTTTTGGGGGTAAAATCTTGCTGATCTATTTGATTTTTTGGCCACAAATCCATTAGTAAAGCTAAAAGTTAAAGAAAGTAAAAATATTTAGCTATATTCAATCTGGGTTTTCGATTTTGTTGCTAAATAACTAGACTTTATCGTCTATTTTTTCTTCTGTAATTGTCCATTTCAGGAGGAAGCACATTTTGGGGTTAATTGATTTATCTAATTTGAGAAAATGATTACATATGAGCAAGAACATGATTTTGTTAAGTGGGGTTTGCAACTATTTGATAGTGATCCTTATGCTAATTGTGGATATGGCGGTGTGCTAACTCAAGAAGATGGGGAGTATTACCCTGGAAATTATTTCAAGGAGGAACGTTACGACGTGGGAGAATGTTGCAATGTAGAAAATGATGAGGCTATTGCTCATATTCTTCAACTTCAAGAACTGTCACAACTCGCGGTTGTGGGATCTCCAAGCCAAAGGGAGGAAGAAGAAGAAGAGGAAGAAGAACTGCAATTGCAAGTGTCTGGTTATCCACAAGATTGTGTTGACCAGTCTGTTGGGAACTTTGGTTCTGGTATAAGCAAAATTCTGAATTTCCAGTTCAATGTTTGAAGTTGTTAATATATCTTTAATGAGTTGCATTGCTGTGTTTATATTTTGTGATTTTTAGGGCATCATTGTGGTCAGGAAGAGCAAGATGATACAGCGCCTTCTAGTACATTTTCTAGCCCCGAAGAAAAGTTGTTATATGAGGATTGGTCATATTCATTGGAGCTAACAAATGAGTATGCTCTTGATGGTGAAGTGGGGAAATGGATGAATCAGATGGTTCCTGTTCCTGTAAGTGTGACTATAAGCTTTAGATTCTTGATATGACATTTCAAGTAGAGCTGTCGTTTATGCTTTTTGGTTTCATTGTGATTGTGTGTAGCATGTTCCAAGAATCAATGGTGAAATACCTTCGGTTGACGAAGCAACTTTAGATCATCAAAGGCTACTGGAAAGGTTTGATTTCTTTGTTTCCTGGAACTGCAACTTCCTGTGAATTCTTTATCTTTTTCTCTTTTTTTGTTTTTCTTTTTGTTCATAAGATTTTTTTCCAGCAATTTTTGTGGTTCTGTTGCTGTTTTTGTTTTCCCCTTTGGTTGACCTATTTCTTGAATGCATGAGTCTGGAAATTCTTTTTCTATAATAGATTGCAGGTCTATAATTTGGTGGAGCTTAAAGTTGAAGGAGATGGTAACTGTCAGGTTAGATTTTAAAGCTGAAAGCATAAAATCTAAAATATTAATGTGTAATGGTGTTTGGTGTAAATGTGTAATGTCTTGGATTATGAAGCCTCTGGTTGGATTAGATTGATGAGGTTTCCAGGAAGTTAATGTTCTGATAGAATAATACATGTTTTTCTAATTAAATAAATGTAGTTTATGCTGTCTGTTTTCTGTTTGTTTATGTCACATTTATTTCATACTTCTTTTTCCCTGGTATAATGTAGTTCATAATTATTGTAAGTATACTTGTATGATCTTATGTGGTTTGAAGCTGGCATGGATATCAACATCAAAAGAGCTACCATGGACATAAATGTTTTTGAAACATATAGCATCAATATAATTGAACTTGTTCTGTGTCTGAACTGTCGTTAGACATACTTAGGTTTCGCTTATCCATATAAATCATGAATTTTTGTTGATATTGGTTCCCATTTAACATGAATATCCAGGGTCATGAGTCCCATTGCTGGTAAAACTTTTGAATGCTGCTATTAACATTAAATCTCATTCCTGCCTGATGCTTTTAGAAACCTGATGTCTCATTAATTTCATGATGTTGCCAGTTCCGTGCTCTATCTGATCAATTTTATCGAACTCCTGAGCATCATGAATTGGTGAGAGAGAAAGTTGTAAATAAGGTTGGCCTTTCACTTACGATGGCTTTTTGTTTTGTTGAACTTGTGTTATAGTCTTTCATTGAAATCATCGTGCATTGCACGTGATGTTTAATCTTTCTTGTCTTGCAATATCTTGCACAATCAGCTTAAGTCTTATCCAGAAATATATGAGGGGTATGTTCCCATGGCATATGGTGACTATCTGGAGAAGATGTCCAAGTATTTTTCTACTCCTCCTTGACTTTATCATTCTTTCTTTTTGATTTTTCTTGACCTTGTTTCTTCATCTTGTGGATGCTTATAGGAGTGGTGAATGGGGTGATCATGTCACTTTGCAGGCTGCTGCAGATTCAGTATGCTCTAGCTGTGTTGATTTTGTTTTCTCTTGTTTGTGATAGATTCTACCTTCCCCTCCCCCGCCTAAATTTTCATAAATTGTTTAATTTGTCTAGCCTGCATATCAATTTTCTGTTCTGATTTATCGACCCAGTTTGTCCTACGAAACACTTTGAATTTATAGACATTTGAAAGATTAATAGATGCTAATTTCTATGTGCACTGCTTTAAAGTGTACAATCATTGTTTTAATAGGAAAAAATAGTGTTGGTTATTGCAATCTTATAAATATGTAATGATGCAAATATTGGCTGTCTAATGCATGCTACTGACTTGTTGCAGTATGGTGTTAAAATATTTGTCATAACATCTTTCAAAGACACTTGCTACATTGAGATTCTTCCAAATGTCCAAGGGTCAAAACGAGGTACAATTACTATCACTTTTGCTTCTATTAGTTTCATTTATAGAATCCATGGGATAAATTCCTTTTGCTGGATTACCACCATAATTCTGATTCAATTAATATATTGAATGTCATTTTAACATGTCCTCCTAGCATTTGGGCATCTCGTAATATATATTAATTATAGATTCGAGCTGCCATTTTGTGGTATGGTTTGACCCTTTAGGTTATGTTGGTTGCTTGATTGGATATCGTCTCTTCGGGAGATTTTCTATCCTTCTTTTTTACCTAGTTGTTTTCAGAAAGATAACTGCAATTCAATCATTGTTATTTTTGGTGGGAATTTTACATCAAATTTATGGGTTTGATTTTTTCGCAGTTATTTTTTTGAGCTTTTGGGCAGAGGTGCACTACAACTCAATATATCCATTTGGAGGTAAATATTACTGCCTATGTATACATTCTTTTTCCGGAGAATTAGAATTGCAATTGGTATCTTGCATTGAATGCCTCTGAGCCTGTGCTATTTTCTAAGGCTGCTTCAGGTGTAGGTTAAGTTGACCTTTTTTTTCAGTTGGCTCGTTACTTTTCTGTCTCTAGAACTTTTTCAGTCAGTATCCGATGGAAATGTTAACCCGTATGTCTTGTATGTGCAAGTTTTAGAAATCAATGACTTGCTAAGGGACATGGAATTACATTCCGTATTCTCTGTTTGGGCATCAGAGTTGGCAAAGCTTTGAACTATTTCTAGCTGAAGAGATTCCATATGGTAGTTCTAGAAACTCACTCAAATAGAGCGTGTTTCAGCTAACAGTACCTCAATCTGTTGGTTGTTTTGTTACTTTTTGTGCATAAAATGCACAGTTCCGATAAGGATTCTAGTCAAGCAGTATGTGCTTTTCCTTTATCTGTAAAGGAAGGAGCATTTCAGGAATGGAAAGAGATATCAGAGTAATAGAAGATGTATGCAGGATGAAGAGGACAGTCGTCTTAACACATTGTGCAACTACAGATCAGTCATTTTTTAAATCTGTCGTACTGTTGCAAATTGATGATACCATGGTTTATGTTCACGTCTTTATTCAGATGTGCCTGCGTTTGGGGCAAAGAAGAAGAAAAGATGGCGAATGTTTCAGAACAAGTACTTGGATTCACAAGATGAATATCAATGAATGTACTGCCGACTACTGTGTGGTTTTTTTTAAATCATGTTTGTTGCTTTTGCCAGAAGCTCATCAGTTAATTTTTTACCATGTTCAATTCGATGTTGATTTTAAGGACAGACAGCAAAGAAAGATCAGAATCATCATCTTGCTTTAATGATCCACTTGATTGTAAATTTTTTGGATAATCTTTTCTCCATCTTGATCGCAGGGTAGAACGACATCAGGCACCTCTTCGATATCCTTTGCAGGCTGGTTCATTACAAGCAACATGGAAATTGAGATAATTTATAGGGCCAAAGAAGGGAAAAATTAGAGTATGAGAAAAACTATATGTACCTGCCATAGTTCCAAAAGACGCCATAGCAAAAAGTCAATTATCATAACCAGGCAAAAGAGCTTGCCCGCCCAAGCTCCACATGAAAGATACCTAACAAATCATCACCTCATTAGCTACCCTAATAATAACCTCAAAAAGAAATAATGATTTTATCCAACCTTTAAACGTTACAAGATACCATAGCTTGCAGGCTGACCGAAAGTAGTCACAACTTCTCTTCTACAATTATTGTGTAATCACTAAACAATATGACGTTGAATGTGTAATCTTTTGGTGATTGCCGGGTTGAATCAAAGTTTTTGATTTAATTACATGCTACACCAACTTTTAATCTTCCTGACTTCCACATTAAACACATGTAAGATACCTCAAACCAACATTAAAATAGGTATGACTTCAGAATATAACAAAAACAAAACTGGCAAAAGTTGGAAGTATCCATGTTCAACAAAGAAATCCATCTGGCACAAGTATAAACTCAAAACAAATATGCTAACATTACACTAAACCAGATTTTCCACCAAAAGTAGTCTTCAAAATTTATGTCAGACAAATCTGCAGTTAAAAGTACTCAAAAAGCATGAAATGTTCAATGGCTTAAACCTTTTTTGAGCATACATTCAATGGCATACCTTGAGAGACGTTCTAGGAGGCTCTGATCAGAACATTTCAAAGCACGATTATACACTATCTCTGTCCTTTTGGCAACATCATTCCAATTATAAAGTCCCTTCATCTGGCCAAGAAAAGAAAAATGAGGAGAAATACATATTTGACCACCTCACACAATTCAAATTACTATATAAAGTCAATCAAAATAACTTACACGATCATGCATAACTTGTGGATCAATCTTAGGAAGGATAGATATTGCATTCTTTATTGCTCGTACCATATCATGAGGATCTGGTTCAGCAAGTACTATCATGTCATCTGGTAAAACCTAGAACAATTAAAAGGAAATTATCAGGACAAAACTGCTAGAGGTTAGGATATATAAAATAATCTTCACTCCTTCTAGGTGGGAAAGTATAAACCAACAGGGCATGATGTTAACCAGGTTAATGAGAATTTTGCAATACATGCCTCTGGGACACCTCCTACACGTGTACTGACAGTTAACAGTCCACAACTTGCGGCCTCCAATATGGCTATGCAAAAAGCTTCTGTCAAAGAACTGTCAAAAGGAAGAGCAAGAATAACATAAAAAATCAGACAAGCTGATCAGCATTTATATACGCTTGACTGCCAAATGATCAAGGAATGTTAACTTGTCCTTTTTTTTTTTTTCCTCATTTCTTTGCTCTTCAGGTAATGTAAAGAATTAACAAACTAAAAAAGGGAGGTTTATAGGAATCAAACTCAATTTACCTGTTTAAGAATATGTGGCCAGAAATCAGCACAGACCTTACAGAAGCATGTGGTACAGCCCCCAACATCTCAACTCGATCTTGAAGGGAATGCTTTTCTCTCATCTCTTCCAACCGCACTCGTTTAGGTCCATCTCCTCCAACAATGAAACGAACCTTCATAGGCATTCCAAAATGAGAAAAATAAACTCAAAATAGCAGGGGAGGGCTAAAAATTATAACATGTTACTGTTGTACTTCCAACTAAATATCAAAATCTTCATAAAAATGAGGAACTATAACCAATGGAAATATAACTACAAAGAGGTTAACTCAAAATTAGAACACATTGATTGATCACCAGTGTAAATTTAGCAGAATTTCAGATGTTTTAAAGTATATGTGGGTGGGTGGTTTGCGTATGTGAGGGAGAGCAGATACAACATAGCAATTGGCTAAACGTGCCAATTTTTGGCCTATAACTGATGAAACCAACATAAATATTAGAAAACTGTAATAAGCTATGTTGCAACCAATTCCTCTCACAGTAACTACGAAAATAAACCTTTTAGTGACTACTAAATTATTTTGTAAGACACATAGCAAAATCAATCATAACATGAAAAGATGATGATCATAAAAAGGAAAATTGGATATAACACAATTTTTTACACAAATAACAAACAAAAAACAATTAAATTCATCACTAATGTAGATACTATTGAAAAGACAGGATTTTTTATTCTACATAAACAGATCTTTGACATGCAAATAGGAATTATATGCCAAATCACCTAATTACCAGTTCCATTGTCAGATTAGTCTGAATTAGCAACGACGCTAACCCTCGTTGCAGAATATCTAATCAAAGGACAATGGTAATAAAAGAAAATCTAACCATCTCATACCCTTGCCGGTAGCTAGTAGGAAGCCACAGAAAAGACTGAGTGAAGTTTCTAACTAATATCATGAAAACTGAAAAGTAACAGAACAAACCAATAAATAGAAAATTTTCAGCAACACCATGGTATAAGCAACTCACATTGGGATACAAACGGCAAACTTCTGGAATGACTTCCACAAGCAAATCTGCACCCTTCCGATAAACCAACCTACTTATCACAACAATAACAATTTCATTATGGCCAAGGCGCTCTGGAGCAGGCTTGAACATAGCTGTGTCCACAGCATTAGGTATCACAAAAACCTTTCCTGGCGGCAAACCTGACCGTAGCACTGTATTTTCCTTGCTTGTGTGAGAAACACAAATGGCCCGGGTTACATCTGCTAAAGTAAACTGCAGAACCTTGTTCATGTGGATGCTTCCCACATCAGCAAAACCATACAATGAATGATCAGTAAATACAACCTTGTATCCCATAGTGCGTGCGTGCATCAAAGCCTCATGGCATAGAGTTGAGAAGGCCTGATGACCATGCACAAGCGATACCTTTTCCCGAAGAAGTATAGTCCTTATTATTGGAAATGTCCCGTAAAAAGTAGGTAATGTGTTCTGCATAAGAAATGGCTGCCATGGTACATAATAAACCTTCAGGCCACCTGTCATGTATCTCACTCCTGATCGATTTCCATAAGCATGGGTCAAAACAACCACCTGAAATAATAGAGTAAATGAATCATTCAATCTAGGAAAAACAAAAGGACTGAATTTTAATTGTAACTACTGATTTGAAACTTTGAGAAAAAAAATTTTGGTTTGCAGGAAAGGAATGTAAAAAAGAGATGAATGGGAAAAAAAGGACTAAGGAATTTCAAAATATGTTGCATCTTATTGACCAAAGAGAAAAGAGAAAAACAAGATATCAAATCTCATTAAAAAGAAAGACAAAGAGGAGGAAGGGGGAACAAATATAGAGAGAAACCTTCCAGAAACTTCCAGAGAGACATTAATAGTATTTTTTACTTAAGCAATGGAAGATCTAAAACCATTCACTTCTTTAGAAAGAGAAGAAAATTTCCTCTTTAAGCAGTGGCAGACCTAAAACCATTCCCCCCTTTTTTCTGAAAGAGAAAAACATCATTACTCTTTTCCCATTTCTTTGCTCATGGCCCAATAGCAAACAGTGCTGACAAACAAGATTTAAAACCTACAAACTTACTAAAATTCTCTGACCTTGTGACCAAGTTTTAGTAGGCATTGTGACAGATAATAAATGTGATTCTCAACACCACCAAAGTTGGGATAGAAAAAATCAGAAACCATAAGAATTCTGTGCTTCAGGTCAGCCATGAAGGCAAATCGATCACCTGCAATAATAATAGTAAAATCTTCTTTATTCTAAGAACATGAGAGAAACTAGCAGTAGATAGAAAGGAGTGCCAAAAATGAAGTAAGCTAAAAAAATGATGGGCCTATCTTCCTCGTCAACAATGACTGGAAATGATCTCTTATACCTAGCATGTAGGGACCCACATGCTTTGAATTGTACAGAGAGAATGAAGCACAGGTTGGTTATGGGGGATGGAAGTACAGAAACTAAATATTATTAGAATGGAATAAGCCCTCATCCTAATAGATGTAAATCAAAATACAGATTCATGCTAACAAATATTAATATCACACAAAAACAATTAATAGTTTATGCAGTCATATTTGGGTATTCTGCCGCTTGTAAGGAGCATTGAACTATTTATGCGTTAGGAAGCAACTTATAGTACACTGAATGAATTGAAAAACCAAAGAAGGCAGGCTAAGAAAGACATCAGTGTTTTTTTATCATTACGGCTGATATGCAAATAGTTATTGCATTTTACCATGCTCAAGGGCTTTGGTCACAGTAGCAAGTGAATCAATCCCATCTCTCTTCTTCTTCTAGTGTTTGTCTTTCCTAACTTTTTTTACTTCCCAATCAAAATTGTTCTCCAAATACATTGCCTCATCTACTTTCTTGTTCCATTTTCTCTTTTCCACCCAAACAAGTTTCCATTGAAATCTCTTTAATTTCGCCAACTACATCTTTACTTTTCTTAGGCTTCTTCTGAGCCTTCTGAGATTCCTTTTCATCTGTATCAAACTCTGATTTCCTCCTTTTTATTAGATCCTTCTTCTTTTCATTGCTATCCTGCTTTCTCTTATTCTTATCATCATTTCTATTGCTTGATTTGGAAGCATCATTCATATTCCCAGTTGACGCATCCAAAACATCACTTTCCTTTTTAACGGCATTGCCTTCTTCAACCTGGTCATTCTCCCTCTCATGCCCATCGTTTTCATGCATCTTCTTAACATGTTGACAAGGGCTTCCCTCGAAAATTATTTCTAGCTATCCAAAATCCTCATGCAAAACTGAAAGTAAGACACACATAAAGAAATATGTTAAAGGGCAGTACTTCAGTAGAACCCCCTCCAAATAAATCCTAACTCATGTCGCTTTGGTTCCAAAATTTGAAGCAAATCAATGTGTTTGCTTCAACTACAAAATGCTTGTACTTATTACAAAAATTTGCATCAGTAATGATAGTAGACAAAAGCTCGTTCTCTGATTCTGTTTACAATAAACTTTACAGATATATTATTGCATAAGAAAACCAGCTATATTGTTACAACACTTCCAAAAGATTATTATACGCATTAATTACCAGCCTTTGCAGATAAACTTTTAAGATGAAAAAAATTTAGGCGTTCAAGAAGTCACATCTTTTGACCCTCCTCCCACATGAAATCAACGCTAAAAACACTAGCGTTGTAACAGAGACAACAACAAAGATGCTGAATTTGAAACCAAGCAAATCAAAGAAACATCAAAAGTTATGGGAGAATGTACCTTAAAATTCTAGGATATTCTTTTCACTCTGTTATTCAAAAGACTATCATTGGCGCTGATAGGTCCCTTTAATGGCCCAAATTCTGACAAAAATGTGAGACTCACACTAAAACTGAGATGAAACTAATACCAGCTCACAACATAAGAAACCAAGATAATAAGAATCCGAATCACTGTCTTACTCTCAAAACTTGACTGCAGCTACTACGAATCCGGTCGATCAAGAGATTCGTATATTTGTGTCATGTAAAATATTGAAATTCGTATATTCATATCGTATTTTATAAGAAAATTGCATGTCATGCCAACATGAAAACATAAAATATACATTTTTAGTTTTGTTAAACTTATACATAATTATTACTAAAATTTTAACCCGTATAACCTTCATGTCCTATTTTTATATCATGTTCGCATTCGTGTCATCGTGTCATGTTTTAGATTGCTAGGTCTAGAATCCGGCTATTACTATGGCCTTTCTTCCTATACCTGGTATCTAAAAGGGTATATAGTTATTCATTCTATCATTTCTTCCTTAATACCCATAAAGGTTTTTAGTTATCCAAATTTAGATCCCATTTACTTCTAATTTTATTAGATTTCAGCAATAGAAAACAATTAACAAGGAGTCAAAGCATTTCATTCAATAATACTCAAATCAACAAGCAAACAAGCTCAAGAAATCATAAGTAAATGATAACAAATGTGAGTTTATGGATTTGATTGATGAAATTCCAGTTCTTACCAATCAAAAACTGTCGATCGATGCGAATCACATTTCGGTTCGTGACTGAAAAATTTTGAATTCAAAAAGTTTAAGAACATTTTTTTTTAGAAAAAAAGAAAAGATAAAAAAATTTCTGATTTCAAAATACTCGAAAATATTTATCCTTTTTTATTAAAAAAATTCATGATTTGAAAGTAGAAATGTATTGATTGTGTCCAGAAATAATGGAAAAATGTAGAAAATTAAAGGGGAAAACAGAGAGAAAGGCAATCTCCAAACCTAAGCGAGTGGGCTCAGAGCGTGAGGAAGATCGGCGGCTATGGCGGGAATGGGACAACTTTTGGGTTTCCGAATTGGACTTGGTCCTTTGGCTAGGGCTGGGGTAAAGAAAAGGTGAATACGAGCTTGGACTTTCAGGCCTGAAGTTTGTTGGGCTTCAGGTCCTTTTAAATAAAATGGAAAGACAAGGTGAATACAAACTTGGGCTTTCAGGCCTAAGTTTGTTGGGCTTCAGATCCTTTTCAAAAAAACAAAAGAAATCTTGCCGTGTCTTGGAAGGCGTAGGTGTTGTCAGGATTGTAATTGAGCCTACTTGGGTAGAGAGAGTGAAAAACGTACTTAATTTGAAATTCATTACTTTGAATTCAATTAAAATTTGATTAAATTTTAATTTTTAAATTAAATTTATTTAAAATAAAAATTAAAATATTTAAATTCGACTCAATTAAATTTATTTCTTAATTAAAAACTTTAATTATTCTTAATTTTAAATTTAATTATTTTTATTCAAACTTAAATTTAACTTTGAATTGATAAAAATATATAAAAATAAAATAATAAATTTTTAATAAAAATTTAGTTAAAATTATAAACTACTTAAACCGAATATTGTTATATTTAAATTTAACTCATCAATCTGCTTGGGCTCTTGATTCAATAATTATTGTGTTTTATATTTTCACCCCTAGGTGTGGTGTGTTTAGTGCGGTACCAAAACAAGACGAGACATAAACAGAGGTTTCTACGAAATGGAAGAACGTTCTGGAAGCGTTTCACTCTCATTAAAAAAACTAAACCCTAAGACCCAACGTCTCGGTTCTTTCTTTCTGCCTAACCTGCCTCCTTATCCACTCTCTACCAAAACAAAGAAAGAAGGTAACGCCTTTTTCTTGTTCATCAAACTAAAATGGCCTCTGCAAATGCTCTTTCTTCAGCTTCTATTCTTTGCTCTCCCAAACAGGTAATTTTCTTTAATGGGTTCTTTTGATTTTTCTTTTTGTCAGCTGCAAAAGCACTGTCTTTTAAGCTACACATAGTATTACATTATGTTACCTTAATTTAATTTTTCTTTTTTCTTGTTGTTCTTTAATGAAAGTTTGGTTCTAGTTTTGCATCTGGGTAATGGAAGAAATGATTAAAGTTTGGTTTTTTAGAGCTTTTAATGGGTGTGGATGATTGCAGGGGAGTTTGAGGAGGGGAAATCAGCAGCAGAATCAAAAGATGAACTGTAGGCAAGGAAATAGGCGATTTGCTGTGAGAGCTTGTGCAAAGGAAATTGCTTTTGACCAGAACTCAAGGGCTGCAATGCAGGCTGGCATTGATAAGCTTGCTGATGCTGTTGGCCTTACTCTTGGTCCTAGGGGTAACTTCATTTTTCCATCATTCCCCATTGTTCTTATACATTATGGTAGTAATCATTTATGTTCTATTGTTTGAAATTTTTATCTTGAGCCTATGCCTTTTGGGGGGCAAAGGTAGAAAAAAGCTGATTCAAGTTAAATGAAATGTCAAATTTGCTTTGATTTGCATGTTTTACAAAATATGAGGTTCATGCATCATAAAAGTCTCATGTTTGTTTTATGCTCTTGATTAATTGCGTTATTCACATGCATCGTGGTGCATGAATTGTTTTCTAAACTGATATGACAACATGCTTTAATGAAATTTTTAATACTGAAAAATGGGGGTAAAAAGAGAGGGGTGGGATAAGGAAACTTAGAAGTTAGAAATAATGCTAGTTGTTTCCTAAATGGTGAAAAAGCCTTTTGTGTGTTTGGGTTCTTTTTTATTTGAACTTTAAATGCTTGTTTTTTACTTATCGTGATGGTTAGTCTCAATTATATTAACTGCAACGTGTTTGCTAGGGAGGAATGTTGTCTTGGATGAATTTGGAAGTCCAAAGGTTGTCAATGATGGAGTGACAATAGCCAGAGCTATTGAGCTTCCTAATGCCATGGAAAATGCTGGTGCAGCTCTTATCAGAGAGGTTGGCCCATAATCTTTTTAGTGTTGCTCTCCTGATTATATATGTATTGATAAGCCTTTAACCTCACCATGACATGGTTTCACTGACACTGACGTCTTGTATTTATTCTTTGACTGTGGGATGAAGGTTGCGAGTAAAACTAATGACTCTGCGGGTGATGGGACAACTACGGCGTCTGTTCTTGCACGGGAAATAATCAAACTTGGACTTCTGAGTGTTACCTCTGGTGCAAACCCAGTCTCAGTAAAGAGGGGTATTGATAAAACTGTACAAGGGTTGGTAGAAGAGCTGGAAAAGAAAGCTAGGCCTGTTAAAGGTCGTGATGATATCAAAGGTATTCTGCAGAAAAATAGATTTTATTTGCACATGAAAATTTTCTGCAACTAGCAAATAAGCTCTTCTTTCTTATTTGTTTTATTGCAATACTCATGCTTTCACATTTCAGCTGTGGCCTCCATTTCTGCTGGAAATGATGACCTTATTGGAACAATGATTGCTGATGCAATTGAAAAAGTTGGGCCTGATGGTGTTTTGTCCATTGAATCATCAACCTCATTTGAGACCACAGTTGATGTTGAGGAAGGAATGGAGGTATGTCTTGCTTCAGGTTTTTAACCCACTGACTTTAATACTTAACAGAAGCAACCCAGATGTTTTTGTGGCAATCAAGTCTGGTTCTTATTCTAATTATCTTTGTTTCTTTTGCTGTCCATATGTAGATTGACAGAGGCTACATCTCGCCACAATTTGTAACAAATCTTGAGAAATTAATTTGTGAATTTGAGAATGCAAGAGTGTTAATAACTGATCAAAAGATTTCAGCGATAAAGGACATAATTCCCCTGTTGGAGAAGATTACTCAATTAAGATCTCCTTTGCTTATAATTGCCGAGGATGTCACTGGAGAGGCTCTGGCCGCTCTTGTGGTGAACAAGCTGCGGGGCATCCTCAATGTTGCGGCCATTAAAGCTCCTGGTTTTGGTGAAAGGAGAAAAGCTCTCCTTCAAGATATTGCCATTCTGACTGGTATTTAAATTATTGTGGAAATTAGTGTTTTTTTTTTTTGAACTATTCCTTCATAGTTTTTAAGCGTTTGTTTCATCATCTAAACTGTAGGTGCTGAGTTCCAAGCTAGTGATTTGGGTTTGCTCGTTGAGAACACGTCAGTTGAGCAGCTTGGTATAGCCAGAAAAGTGATCATTACCAAGGATTCAACTCAACTAATTGCTGATGCTGCTTCAAAGGATGAGATACAAGATAGGGTGGCACAACTAAAGAAAGAGCTAGCTGAGACAGATTCTGTCTACGACTCAGAAAAATTGGCAGAAAGGATTGCGAAACTGTCTGGTGGTGTTGCTGTGATTAAAGTGGGGGCTGCAACGGAGACTGAACTTGAGGATCGCAAGCTAAAGATTGAAGATGCCAAGAATGCTACATTTGCTGCCATAGAGGAAGGGATTGTGCCTGGTGGTGGTGCTGCATTAGTTCATCTCTCAACTTGTGTTCCTGCAATTAAGGAGAAGCTTGAAGAAGCAGATGAGCGCTTAGGAGCTGATATTGTGCAGAAGGTAAATTTGCCGAAGATTTGCTGTCTAAATGATGATTGAATTCAGTTTAACTATTTTGGAAATTCTGTTTTAACTTTAAGGACTATATTTGGAGATGTCATAAATGTGAACTTGCAGTCAATGCAAGATTTAATGCTGTTAGCCCCACAAGTTTTACCTGGATCAACATTTATGTTTCAATTTTTAAAACCATACTGATTCATTCTGTTTGAATGCAGGCTCTGGCTGCACCAGCCTCGTTGATAGCTCAAAATGCAGGAATGGAAGGTGAGGTGGTGGTGGAGAAGCTGAAGAGTAGTGAATGGGAGATTGGTTACAATGCTATGACAGACAAGTATGAGAACTTGCTGGAGGCTGGAGTTATTGACCCAGCAAAGGTGACAAGATGTGCACTGCAGAATGCATCTTCAGTTGCGGGAATGGTCCTTACCACTCAGGCCATTGTTGTTGAGAAGCCCAAGCCTAAGGCTCCAGCTGCTGCTCCTCCACAAGGTCTTACCATTTAATCACTAGGATCTATACGCTGGTCAGGTTTTTTAGAGATGAAGAGCAATATTCCCGCGGTGAATCACAAGAAAATGCCTGATGATCTGAGGTTTTCCTTTCCATGTTAGAAATGTGCCTTTTTTTTTTTTTTGTATGGATCAATAAAAATTTACTTAGGGATCCTGAACAATGTTGATAGACATTTCATAATTTTTTTTTCTTGCCAGTATGAAGTGTGTAATACCAGTTCCAATCTTCGGTTTGCACAAATATGTTCTAATGATTCATACGATACGATACGAGGACATACATGCTCTACTCACCCACAAGTCGACTTGGGTTGCATGCCTTCCAAAAACCTTACACTGTGAAAGCCGCAGGCCTATGTCTAGTAGCAGTATCTAATGATACAGAATAGCCCATGAAAATATTTGGGTTTTCATGGATTATGGCTAGTCCCAACAAAGTTCTTGGAAGGAAGGAAAACAAGAAATAAGTGGATACCATGTTTGTTTGCTGTCTTTCTTTGCTTTTCCCAGTCTAGCGGCAAGGCTTTTACCTCCTCCCTATTCCTAGGCATCAACACAACCCAGGTAACGGCTAGTCCATGGATCATGATCAAGATGATTACTTTTTTCAGTGAGCTGTGATCCTCTTGCATCTTATCCTTCGAAGCAGCACCCAGTTTAAATAAGTTGATGTGTGGAACAATTTATTCAAAGTAACCAGTGGTTTTTTTTTTTTTTAAATATTTATATTTACTAGATTGGTAATGAAGGTTTAGTCTAACATGATTCTATAAATCATTGTAATCCAGCTTTTACTTTGTTTAATGCGTCGAATCCATTAATAAATGAAGGTTTTACATTAGAATTTGAGACTTAGAACTCCCTTCCATTGTTTAGTCTATGAGAGTGGGTGCTTGATATATGTCTCCAAGAAAATCTCCCATTAATATGGTCCTTCTGTGAGAGTACTGTTGAAAGTTAACACATAAAACACCTTAAAATGAAGCGGTTAGGCCAATGACCATGATGTGTTTGTACTGATATATGATAACGATGTAAGGTAAAGATATATCTCAAAATATTCATGATTTTAATTTTTGTGAGGTACAGGTACATCACATCACATCTTTGCTGCTTTGTGAAAGGTCTGCTGCCGTTTCAAGATTCCATTTCAATGGGTTTCTAATCCTCGGTTTGCACATTTTCTATCACGACAAGCAGGTTTGGTGGGTGCTTAATACCCCACTAAGCTACACGTTGAAGAACCAAAACTAGATCGATAATGGCCCATAACCCTTTTTCTAGATAAATAGTATAAGCTGTGTTTGTTTTGTTTTCCTTCGTTCTCTTCGCCTCGATGTGAAGTTGAGAAACAAATGGGTTTTGGCCTTTGGGATGCATGGAAATGCAAGTTTCAGTGGATGGGACAAGGTAATATATAGTGGTGGCAACGGATCAGGTGGACAGAATAGGAAGGATTTTTGTTCGTCCTTACTTTGATCTGATTTTATAAAATAAATATTTGATTTGAATTAAACTTACTATGAAATTAATTTAATATAATATTTATAAAATATTTTTTAATATAAAATATTTTTTATTTATATATAAATATAATATTTTTATTAAATTATATTTTTAATCAAAGTATTATATATATATATATATATATATCTTAAAAACGAAGCATGACAGAGGCAATTTGACCCAAAAAAGAACACAATATAGGAAATCTACGAGCCCACTTGTAGTCTCTTTTGGGTCGGGACGCCCACACCGCTCCAACATTTGAAAAAAAAGAAAACCCATTCTAGAAGAGCCAAAAGTTTGGGTCAGCTCATTGAATTGTGTGCCCGAGTTGCTTGTTTTCCTTTGATTTTTTTGGGTATATTTTGTAAATTTATTGTACTTGGACTTTATTCTTGTTTCCTCGTCAAAGCTTTTTTTTTTTTTTTTTTTGTCAATCAGGGCATTAACACGTGGAGTTTACAAATTCTTTTTTATGCCAATCATAACGCATTTTTCATGAAGCATTCGTATTGGACCCCTCACTAAATTCTACAACTCAACGTGAGAGAAGGTTCCAAAACGAAAATCCAAGAAAAATGGGCATTGAAATTCTCCCAAGTGCACTAATCCCACTTTGACTCTTTCAAAGTCATCTCCCAAAGATGAATAAGCAGAAATAGACAACTCAAAAGATTGGGAAATTAATCAAACAATCAAAGCATAAAATTAAGTTTCATTTGAATAAATTGTGAGATTAATTATAATAAAATTAAAAATAATAATAATTAATATTATTATAAGTAAAAAATATTAATGAAAATTTATATTAAATAAATTTTATTAAAATTACTACTTAAATTTAGATGTGTTCAACCATATCCAACGAAAGACGCGATGGAAGCGAACTGACCTCCAAAAGGAACGGGTCACCGTCAAAGCGTGTTTGTGAACAATATCCAACTTTTGGTCTCCAGTCGAAAGCGTAGTTGATTGAGCCAAGCAGGTAAAGGATGGGAGCCGAACCAATAACAAGGTAACTGAATTTGAAATTTTGTACAGCATCTAATTATTACCTACGTTTTTTTTTTTTTTTTGTCAACTCTTAATTATTATTGATTAGCTATTTTATTTTATTTTTTATATAAATAAAAAGTAAACTCAACCTACATCTCATTGGTTTACACGTTTTATACATTGTATTTTTGTGTTTTTTTTTTCAAATAATAAAATTACTTGATGTATATATAAGAATAAAGATGTAAATGATATATTAATATTTATAAATTATTTAATTTTAATTTAAATAAAATTTAATTTAAATTTAATTATTATCGATCAAACTTAAATAATTTAATTTATCGAACAAATAAAATTTAAGTAACTTATTACTTAACTCAAATAATTTACAAGTTTAGTCAAATTTTTAAATTTTAAAATATTTTTATTATTTAAAAATTTTATTATTTTACCTCTTTATATATATATATATATAAATTTGAGTTTGACCTCAAACACATAATCGAGTATAAAATCAAATTAATTTTCATTAAATAAGTTCAAGTAACTCGACTCTTATTTCAAGCTTAGTTAAAGTTTAAAAATTAAAATTTGATAAAGTTTGAATCATCGAAATTTAAATAATAAATTTCAAATTAAACTTAAACTTAAATTTTTTATTGTTTCAATTTAATTTGATTAGACTGCACCTTTTATATAAAATTATAATCATAAAGAGTGTAGTACTTTTTATCATAAATAAAATTAAGATCAAATTAATAAAATTTTTATATTTTTTTTTCCAAATTGCATATTACAAAATTGAAAAAAAAAAAAAACTTTGATACATATATTTCAATGGTCAAAATTTGAGACTTAATTTTACTTTGAATCTTGAGACGAATATAATAAAATTTATAAGATTAAAAATATTATTTTTTATTGTGTAACTTAAAATCACATAAAAACTCTCTAATTTTATATAATTAAGATTTTATTTATGTTTTTTATAATTTATTTTTTGCAATAAATATTCTACAATCTAAATTTCATGCAATTTAAGGATGGGATACCCTATTAAATACAAAACCACTTTACCTAAGGAAAAATATTATTACTATTATTATTCAAAAAAATATATATTTGTTCAATCACTTTGTTTCTAGGGTTAAAAAAATATTACAAACATATAAAATAATATTTTTATTTTCATGAATTATTATTATTTTATACATTAATAACGTTAAACTTTATAAATTAAATCCAATGATTGTCATATATTTATTTAATAATTAATTAATTTATTCATATATATGAATGAATTACTTTTCCAAGAAAAATTTAAGAGAATTAAAGTAGTAAATTTTCTAGGTCATTAAATTTATGAATTAAAAGTAAAACAAAATTTTTTAAATAAAAAATTTATTTGCGTTAAGTCCTTTCCCATTTCCTAAATTACAAAACAAGGACAAACGTGTCATTTATTGTTTCATCCTCTTTTCTTTCTAAAATGACTTCTATTGCCACTCCCCGATTTAAAAAATATAAATTCCCTTCTCCCGGCTATGCTTCCTTCCAACAAAAAGTCACGTATCTCCGTAATTCGTTGCCCAAAACGAGGCGATATTTGTCTTTTTACGATTACCCCGCAATTCTTACCCGAGCGGTTTTTTGCATAAACGAGAAGAAAGGACTCGAGGAAGCTCTGCTCGCACGATGCGTGGTGCAGTAGTGAAACGACCAAGAGATGGCTAGCGATCCTTTCCCTCTGCTTTTCTTCGAAATGGCGTTTCTCGCATTTCATGGTTTATAGAAAAACCAAACCCTAACAATCCCTTTCTCTCTTCTTTTTGGCTTATTTTGCGGTAAATATATTCAGGTATGATTTCTCAACTGCTCTTTGTTGATTCTCCTACATTGCCTTTTTTCAAAACGTCGACGTTTTGGTTTTGTTTGGATTTTTTTTTGTGCGCAGAGATAGGGAGAGATGGGGGAGTTATCGAAGGTGTTGTATATAGTTGTGATGGACGAAGGTGAGAAGACAGAGGAGACGTCGTCGTTTCGATACACGCGTCCCGTTCTTCAGAGCAGTCTCCAACTCATGGGCTGCAAGGCTCGTCATGCCTTCAAGGTTTTCCTTCTTGTTTTTTTATTTAGATGAATTCCTTCTTTTTTTTTTTTACGTCAATCTTTGGTTGATTTCGGTTAATTATGGATTTGTGATTTAATATCGATTTTTGTTTGATAATTGTTTGTTTTATCTGTTTTGTTTGATCGATTCATTGTAATTAGAAAATAGTGAATTAAAAATGCAGATGATGAGGTGATAGATCTTGATAGCTTATAACATGTTCTATAAAAATCTTTTTCAATTTAACATCATTTTCTGCTCTAGTGCTGATTCAAACCAGTATGATTTTTGACTCAATATTTATCTCCCCTTTTATCTTTAAAACGAGACGCTTGATGCTTAGTTTTTAGGTTCCTATATGTTCCTGCCAAAGCCTTCAGACCTTCGGAAATCATCGAAATCAATTAAGATGAAATCAGTTTTGATCTGTTTCTATTTTTGTTGGCACCTTCGCATTGTGGATTTTGTTCTATCATGTGGTCCCATCATCATTTGGTGATTGTATTGCCTAACAATGTACACATTATCGGTTTAAGTTTCAGTTCGTAAATTGCTTCCTGCTTCCTCTTGGGTGATAGAGATCTTCATTATTGTGTTTATGGAGAGGTTGAATAAATTGCCCTGTTTAAGTATGCTTATTGAGTTTGGGATTTGGTCTCTTTCCTCAATCAGATGGCTATTTAGAATTCTTGTGCACTGCCCTGCCTGTCTGTGTTAGGATCGCTTTTGGCTTTCTATTAGTTGATTTGTTGGTTGTGATATGTCATTTCATATTTAATTTTTTCATTTAACATGATTGGTTTTATCACTTGTTTCTTTAATTGTTATAGCAAGTGGATCCTTGTGCTGAATGTCCTCTTTGTATTTCTTATCAGATTAGCCAAAGGGTTTTTGAATTGATAAGAAGTGAACCTTCTTATAACTCTTTACTTCAATTGGGAAGTGATACATTGAATTCTGATGGTTTGAAAGGAAACTCTGAGAAGGAATATGTTCATCCTGCCAACGGTGACTTCCGTAGAGCAGAGGCGGGCAGCCGTTTAGTTTCTGACAAAGATGATAGAAATAGGAGTGTACCATTTGAGTTGTACAAAAGACGTACATCGATTATTGTTAAAAGAGAAGCTTTCTTAGATGTTGTCTGTGATGCTCTAGCTGAATATAAGTATGTAGGTCCAAACCAGAGGGCTGACTTGATTTTGGCATGCAGGTATTGTGTGATGTCTTATATCTTCCAATAGAAATTGCAATAATACATGGCATATAATGAATTGCTTGCACGGAGAATCTGCATACATTCCTTTCAATTTGTCTTTTCTTGGTAATTTCTAGCCATATTAGTGGTAGCTTGGAGATTGGTAATTCACACTTCTTTATTTATCTGTCTTATTTGGCATAACAAGTTGTTCATGGAATATTTCAAGAGATAGGCTGTTCTAGCATGATTTTCTCCGTAGAGGATTGTTCTATTGTCTGCCTACTTTTTTTTTTTTATTCCCTTTTTGGTGGCTTTGTCAACAAGGAGACAATTATTATCACAAATATTCCATAAGGTTTTAATGTAACATGCATAGATATTTATTGCCTAGTTGCAGCAAAAGTGCATATAAGATTTGATATGAGATCGTGGTAGTGGGTTTTAGGATGGTCTTGAATTGTTCTATGTCCTCTACTTGGAAGTCTTCAAATCAGATGCAAGCATGTTCTTGGCTCCCCTTATAACTGCGTTAGGTGTTCACTGCAGAATCCGGGAGAGGAAGGAATCTGTAACTGTGCTGTTGTGTGGCACTAGTGGTTGTGGCAAATCTACTTTGTCTGCTTTGCTGGTATCTTTACCTTGCATATTAATGTCGTGTGGCACTAGCAGCTATAACTGCATTCCCATAAACAGCTAATCTTTGTGCTATTGTTAATGTCATTCAGGGTAGCAGGTTGGGAGTTACAACTGTGATTTCAACTGATTCAATTCGTCACATGATGAGGAGTTTTGTAAATGAGAAGGAAAATCCTCTACTCTGGGCTTCAACCTACCATGCTGGGGAGTGTTTGGATCCTGTGGCAGTTGCAGAAGCGAAGGCTAAAAAAAAGGCAAAAAAATTGGCAGGCATTGCTCAATCACTTCCTAAGGGTGAGCTAGCTGATGGTTCTTCAGCTGGCAAGTCTGATGCCCCACCAATGGAGAGTGGTTCTACTGGTACTGAATTGATTGGTCTGAAACAAATGGCTGTTGAAGGATTCAAGGCACAAAGTGAGATGGTCATCGACAGCCTAGACAGACTGATTACTGCATGGGAAGAGAGGAAAGAGTCTGTAATTGTTGAGGGTGTACACCTAAGCCTTAATTTTGTTGTAAGTAGACTTTTGGTTTGTACCCTGCAATCAAATGTGTTCATTTCCCCGAACATCTGTTATTCTTATACCGATGTTTTTTTCTTTGTGTGCAGATGGGGCTTATGAAGAAACACCCTTCAATTATACCATTCATGATATACATTACGAATGAAGACAAACACTTGGAAAGATTTGCAGTTCGTGCAAAGTACATGACATTGGACCCTGCAAAAAATAAGTATGTGAAGTATATAAGGAATATCAGGAAGATACAAGATTATCTGTGCAAACGAGCTGACAAGCATTTGGTCCCCAAAATAAACAACACAAATGTGGACAGAAGTGTGGCGGCCATACATGCAACAGTTTTCAGTTGCCTCCGCAGGCGTGAAGCTGGGGAGCCACTTTATGATCCTATAACAAATAAAGTTGCTGTGATTGATGAGGAATACTGGAATCAGTGTGCTGCCAATTCACTGAGTTCCAAGGGAATGTTTCAGTTGATCCAGAGGAATGGTTCTTCTAGGCAACTGATGGCTCTTCTTAACACCGATGGATCTGTGGCAAAAGCTTGGCCAGTTCAATCAGTTGATAGTAATGGAAGGCCTATCTCTAGCCATGGGATTGAAGGTGGAATAGGCATTCCCTTGTATGGACCTTTAAAAATTCACAAGGCCGAACCCGTTAATCTTCAATTTGGTCACTTTGGAATTAGTGCCTGGCCTAGTGATGGTGGCACAAGTCGTGCTGGAAGTGTAGATGAGTCAAGATGTGATGGGACTGATAATGGCAGTAGATACCAATCTTCTTGCTGCAGCTCACCCAGGATGTCCGATGGTCCTTCAAAGGAGGTAGCATCTTACAATGATTTTTTCCTTTTCTTTTCAAGTACTTTTATCAATGCTTTTGGTTAGTTTTGATGTGTATATAAGCAAATTAGATGAAATAATAAGCAAATGGAAATCACTTTTAATACTAAAAGTGTAGAATTTTTCTTTTCAATTTATTTATTTATTTATAAAGTGTGTATTTTGGGCTTGGATTATTAATTCTCTTTTTATCTCACAGTTAAAGGAGGAAAATTCAGTGTATGGCAGTGATGAAGAAGTTGATGATCCACCTGAGGTAGACAGTGATGAAGATTTTAGTGATGATGGTGACAAACATATCCAAGAAGAGGTATGAACACGTGTTAGATTCTACAAGAGATGAAAATATACTTCTTTATTGCAGTGACTTTAGAGATTAATTTGCAAAAAGAGTTTGTATCGGTTCTTCATTATTTGTGTTATATGGATGATCTTTTTGATATGGGCTTATTCATTTATCCATGTTTTAAGCTTGGGTCAGTGATACTTTTTATGGATGTTGGATGATTGAAATGGCATTAGGTTCTGCTTTCTAATTCTTTTAGATTTTCATTCTAATCTTTTTTTTTGACATGGGCTTATTCATTCATCTTAGAATTCTAGATTAAAAAAGGTCCTATTTTTTGCTTTTAGATTCTTTGTGGATTTCACTCTAATTTTTCGTTCTGCTCTGCAGGTAGGCTCTGTTGATGAATGCTCAACAAAGTCAGATGAAGAGTATGATGATCTGGCAATGCAGGATGTGCAGGAGAATGGCTACTGGTCAGATGATGAACAAGAACCTCGTGGTAAGGTAATGACATTTTCTGGGGACCAAGCAACCCGTACAAGGGGGGATAAATATAACAAGAATTTAGACCTTTTCCTTAAAAAGTAGAGGTGAAGAGTTTTCTAAGCCACTATGCTCTTATTCTTCGCTGCTTGTAGGGAAGGATGAGAGAGGATTGGCACCCATAAGCAATGTTAAAACTAGGAAACGCTCCCTCAGCATTCCACCCTTGGGGAAACATGGATCAATAATCAGTGATCCCATACTTTCTGGGGCCCCCTCAGTGGTAGGGAAACAATTTAGTTCGTGGCTCGTACAATTACTAGGTAACTTAATCCAAGTTGCTAACCCTGCCCACTTTCTCCTCTCATGTATAGTGATGCTCGTTATGGTTGCCTGACTGGGAAATGGCAAAGATGATTTAATGTTGATTTTTGTTTTTGGATAAACACCATGAGCAAGCAAACTTTGGGTTTAAACTGCAAAGCTTGTGTCCGCTTGAGCCAATTAGGGAAGTAATAAGCAAGTCTGCAGCTGTATATAATTATTTAGATTCAATTGTTTATAAATAAATATTGTGTATATATATATATATATATATATATATAGAGAGAGAGAGAGAGAGAGAGAGTAAAACTGAGTCGAGATGTCTTCCCTACTTTTTTGGGTTGTTGCTTGCTGCTTGGATTTTCGGCCTCCTCTGCCTTTGTTTGTGGGCTGTGGCTGAATGGGAAAATGGGCTTTTTTTATTTGATTTTTGTTTTCTTTTGGGGGGACCGGATAACCCACCACACATATTACAAATTAAGTCTAAAATCTCTTTCTCAATGAAAAAAAGGTTAAATCATGTGATTTTTAAGAACTTGACACCTTTCTACAGTAAGATATGGATTGTAAGAGAAGAAGTTTTGAATTTTTTTGCTGATCTTTGAAGATACATGCACTTTATCTTTGAATCAAAATATCAAGCTATGTGAGCCTCATTTTCAAAAGCATAATTTTACATAGTTTGGGCAGGGCGAAGTGCCTCTTACATAATATGCTTGTGTAATCTGAAATTAACTTTTCAATATTTTGCCAAATAATTGGTGTTCAATGCACTAAAAAGAGAGAGAGAGAGAGAGAGAGAGAGAGAGAAGCTTCAATGGTTAATGACTGATTGTGATCACATTTCTCCATGATTCTGTAAAAAGTTTCTATCCCCGGTGTTTCTGAGGTCCGACTCTTTCATTTGGTCACTTTTGCGGTACTAAAAGTCGACAACTTCATTTTATTAATTCATTGTAAAAGTAACCACTTTAGCATATATGAAAGATCTCATGCCAGCCAGCCAGAGACCATTGCTGGTCCTTCACTTGCATGTATGCCCCGTGAACACCCACTGCGTCCATCAGATGGACCACAAACACACCATTGGGGACCATCGTGGCTTTTTGGGCCCAATCAAACCAAAGCTTATTATATCGAAAAGGAAAAATGAAAAACGTTTATCAAAGCACTATAATATTGGTGGATCGATCATGCCTTTATATCTGACAAAAAGTTGGAGAAATAATTGTAATTGTCTAATCTAAATTTTCATATGCATCTGATATGAGTAATTTTGATTCAACAATTTGACATACAATAAGTCTTTTAGCAGGTTCTTCACTCTTTCGGCTACAATGGCTTTGCATGTAATTGCCTACTGGCTACTCATGTTCCTTTGAAAAAATATACATACCTTAATCTTTGATGATGGAAGCCGAAGCATGGAAATTATCAGAATTAACATGGATTTGTCTAGGGGCAGAATGATCAGAGTGAGGTTTTAGCTTTTAAGAAAGAAAATATCATTATCCTTGAGGGAATGCCGAAGCATCAGTTCCAGTGGCTTGTGATAAAAAACTGAATAAGCTCCAGTTTCTTGAACTTGAACTGAACCGTGCATACAAGACAAAAAAGGACATGATTTCAATTCTTTTAATCTTAACAGGAAAAGGTTTTTGTTAAAGTTTATTCCTTCCATAAATTTTTTAGCCTATGTATGTGCATTTCTCATTCTTTCTTTGGTTGGCTCGCTTAGTGCATGATGTAGCAGCTTCTTTTCGAAGCTAATTTGATGGTTTTTGAGACCATAACCTATCATTTGTTCAACCACCAGCTAGCATCTGCAAGTCTGATTCATCTTCTGAAAAAGCATCCTATTTCTGTCTTATCATAGCATCCAAAATGTACCATGCACTTCAAACTTTCATTATTAAAAAAGATGGGTAATCTGCAGAAAAAGAAAAAAATATATCAGCAAAAATTCCCAGTTTCCTTGTGTTTTTCCCAAGATTAAGATCACTTATCGATATAATTAAATTATATATATGTGTATATAATATATATATATGCACGCACACATATGAATCATCCAGCTTTTGATGTTCAGAAACATATAATGGAGTGAGCCTAATACGGAGTTTTTTGGGTACCTGCAGATTTGTGTGGCGTGAAGATATTGAACGAAGTTGTCTCTCTTCCATTTTATTTGAAGTTTGAGACAACAAATGCAAAATCTACCATGCAAAAGAAAGAAAGAATCATGGATAATGTCAATCATCTGATCAAACTCTTTAAAAAATCTTTGTAATTGGATAAAGTCAATCTTATAAGAAAATATTTGATGGCAGCATCACGAATATTACAGCATTAATTATTTCTGCAAAGAAGTGAAGTCATCAAAATAGAAGTCTGATAGAGTTCTCAAATTCCATTACCATGTGACAACTGGTTTTTGTCCTTGACAGCCCAACACGACATGACTTGAGAATCTTAGGGCAATAAGATTTTGTACAAAAGTACTTAGAAATACCATATATAGAAATTATTATTGTGAAATATTTTGTTGAGTAAATATTTATAATTACATCATCACGTCTTTCTTCCATGAATGTCTACGCACTTTAGGTACAAACAATGCAAAGCAAAAATCTATGATCTCAACGTATTGCATTGCTTTTGACGAGGAAGAACATGTCCGAACCATGATATCCCTATAGCTAGCTAGTTTATGCAAAAAGCTGAAAGTTTGATTTGAGAACAGCAGCAAAGGATTGACGTTTATTAACTATTGAGTTTGTAAAAAGCATCCAACGAATACCATCCAACTATCAGAAAGTATATTTTTGTAAGCTAGCTTGCTAACTTCTGAACATGAAATATTTAACAAGAAATTTGTTGATACGATGGTTCAATGATCCTATATCAGATCAGTAGACTAGAAATGGTATGTGAACACAAATAAAAGGAACTTAAAATGACAAAACAAACTAAAGGTTCAAGTTCCAATACTGACTAGTTACAATATTCAACGTATAATACTTCCTAGACCCAGAACCCAGAAAGATTTCTGCTAAACTGATACAAGAATTTCTGACTCAAAGGGTAGCAATAAGAGCTTGCTGTCCAACATATAAATTCAACAGGAAGAGCTTAATAAGTCCTACAAGCCAAAGATAGAGAAGAAGCCAGGTCTAACTGATTGAAGTTGCAACATGCAAAATTGAGGAAACTTGATTTCCTAGCTATATGCAAGTACTATTTTCTTGGCTTAATCCTTTGTTTCTCTTTGAAGAAAAACAAACTCCACAAAAGATTTTCCAAAGCTAGTAACTTATAAGGGTATTGTATATCTTTGTAAGAATTGATAAATCAATGGACCAAACCTTTTGCAATTGTACTCTGGCATAGAATTAATGCAGTAAAGGGCTAAGCGGACAGAAACTATGGGCACACACACACATATATATAGATTATGGAGAACAGAATATGGGTACCAAAGCTTGGAAAGTGATAGAGGCACACAGATATTCCATAATTTTGTAGACTGAATTATCACTTTCATGAGTGAAGAAGCAAATTTAGAGAAGTTATATATGAAGAAATTTCTGGGGTATTAGTACTATTTAAGGGATGAAAAATAGGTGGGACACTGGGATTGAAATGTCTTCAAGAGAGAAAAACATGTTTAAGGGTCCAAATTGCAAGATGCGTCTCCCTTGCTTGGTCCACCAACAAAGGTGATGGGTGATTAATGCAAAAGCTATCGAACACAAACAATGGCAATGACAATGTAATCTCTCTTCCACAGTGAAGTTCCGCAGAGCAGTTCCAATTTTCAACAATGTATCTATGAATTTTACAGATAAAATCCACTTGGAACAATGTCCAGAATTTTTTTTTAAATAATCAAATATATTTTGATTTTTTTTTCTACGCAAATATATTTTGAATCTTTTCTCTGGTGAAGACAAAGGTGGTGGGAAAAACCAAAAACTAGCAGTAATTACGCTATTTAGTTGATATCATTAAATCCCATAAGGAAAAAAATCTAAAACACTACCTAACTTCTCTCACCTTTCTTCGGAGTTCACAGTTTCTGCTCAAACCACTCTCCTGGAGCCAGCCAACACCTTGTTGGCTTTCATCGAAGCTCATTAGACCAGCACCATCCTTACCTAAAGATTGCTCCTTTGCCTATATATCTGCGATCCCGCAAGCAAAAATCATTGATGAACTAGAACTTCTCAAAATCAAGGAACAGCAAAGTACAAGAATGGATCTAATTTCTTTTAATAGCATCAGTAACACAACAAGAGAGGAGAGCACATGGATTGATAAAAATTGACCTTTTTGACATAATCTCTCTCAATAACTTCTTATGTCAAGGCTCTACCTTTTTTAGTTCCAGGGTAAAGTCCCTTCTCCATGAAAAAGTACCCATTTCCACTGCTGAAGTATATTTGATTCAGAAGAATAATCATAGATCTGCAAGTCAAAGTCCTTTAGAAACAGCCTAGTTAGACACTACTGTTACTGTTACCTTACCCCAGCAAAGTGCAAAAAAGGAACATATATATTCTTATTTTTTAAAAAAATAAAAACATCAAATCCATTTATGGAGATACCCATTATTAATTAAACAATACCCCATGAAATTAAGATTGAAGTAGCATAAAAGAAAAATACTATACCCACCTGACAACAACAGAAAAAGAAGAGGGTGAGAACTTGCAAAAGAGCGACTAATCTTGTTTTGTGTGGATGTTATGATGTAGAAGTGCAAAGTGACACACTACACTTTGAAACTGAGAGAAAGAGAGTTTTTTTTTTTTTTTTTTGTATAATCGTTTATTGCCGATGCAGCATCATCAAGATTCTCATTTTCAAAGAACTTTGGCACAAAATTAGGAAGGAAAGAAGGGGGAAAAGGAAGTTAAGTATTATCATCACCACCGTGCATTTGCATGTGAATCTTGATGATGCTACACCCGCAAACAACGACTGTCAATCTATCTATCAATCCAATATCCATGCACCTATAGAAATAGAGAGATAGCCTTGCTAAAACTCAATATATATATGGGATTTATATAAAAGGAGAGGAGAGAAAGAAAAAAGAGATGAAACATTTGAGTTTGACCCACAAGACCAAATATCATGGAAAATTTTTGAGGACAAAGAAAATAAAATAAAAAAGAAAGACTTATAGTATCCAAAAGTTATTTTTTTATTATATTTTCTGCCAAGAA